CTCTCTCTCTCTCTCTCTCTCTCTCTCTCTCTCTCTCTCTCTCTCTCTCTCTCTCTCTCTCTCTCTCTCTCTCTCTCTCCCCCGCGCGGTGTATTTCTTCGTTTCTCTTTTTTTCTTTTCAGAGGCTGGTTTGTTTTCTTTTTTTTACTTTCGTTTTTTGGTTTTCAAAAAATGGAGAAAAACCTGCTACCCGTAGCTCTAGGCTCGGCAAGGCTCGGCTTACCGGTAGCGGGAGGCTTGGACTCGATAGGTGGGCGAGGTACTGGTAGTTTAAACCACCAGTACCTTTCTCAGCTATTGATGCCGAGTCTAAAAATGCCCTGTGAGCCAATTTTTGCCGAGGGGCGGTTCCGGTACCCTCCTCTCTGAAACCCTTCTGCTGGACCTCTGACCAGCAGAGGGAATACAAAGAAGGTCGTCGTTTTCACGCACGAAAAAGAAAATAAGTGAAAAAAAAAAAAAATGAAAGACGCCGAAGGCATTCAAGTGCTCCCCACCTCTGGCGGGAGTCTTTTTTTCTATCTGGACTCTGGAGAGGACAGCGGCCTTTCCGGTCTTTTTTATTTTGCATTGTAGTATTACTGTGGGAACCCCGTAGCAGTCAGCCCGTGTTCAAGCCCCCAACGACGGAATATGGGTGGGCTGCACTCTACTTGCAGGTGGGCGATACCGGCCAGGGGACAGCCGGTAGCATCAGGGCCGAGCTTCTTGGATGGGTCAGTCGCTGTGCCTCCCCTCCAGTCTCCTCCCCCAACAAACATTAGCAGTCACTGCTCAATGCCACTCGGGGGGACCAAGGGGCTCTCTCTCGGTGGCAGCCGCCAAGCTTGAGCAGGAAGGTACATGAGCCGAATGGGGATTGAGCCCGAGATCTCCTGAACGCCACTCGCGTCCCTTACCTTACCAGCAGGTGATCGACGGGGAGGCCCTGATAAACAACCGAGATTCTGTTTCCTCAGGAAAGAAAAAAAAGAGTCCAGTTGATGTAGCTCAGTGGTTAGAGCACCGGTTGGAAATGCGCATTGTGGTATGAGGTTGCGGGTTCAAAACTCAATTGCAGCCTTGCGCATCGACACTTGCAGGGCGTTAGAATGACGCACAGCTGGACACACGTTCCCTTGGGCTGACGCATGGTAAGCTTATGCAGACACTGCCTGTGCACCACCCAAGGGTTGTCCATGGTGTTGTATGTCCGGTCTTGATACTGCGTGGGTTGCTTGTGGCGGTTGCTCGTGGTTGTTCTGAAGATCTCCCCAGTCACGGGTTCGAGCCTGGCTTGGGAGTTTGGGGGGGGTTCTTGTCCAGCTTGGCCTGTCATCTCTTCAAATGAACACAGTTAGACAGAGCACACATAGCCTTCGGGCACATACATCTCGCTATACAGTTAGACAGAGCACACATAGCCTTCGGGCAGATACACAAACACATGGCCCTATGGGCTCATACAAACATACAAAGCCTCTGGGCATACACACATACACACAACTACAATACTGGGCAGGGGGGGTATATCAGGTATATGACGGGGTCTGCTCACGCATGGCTTAGCTCTAGGGTAGGGGTAGGGATATAAGTCGCTCCGGAAAGTCTGAGTTCCGCCTAGCCTTGGGTAAGCTAGGCGAAAGACGGTAGGATGTGTCCGCGGGCGCTCCTGCCTTGCTTAGGTAATCCTGCTGGGTAGACTCTCTGAATTGGGCCTGCAGAAGATTGCATGAGCCTGGCGTCCGAAGTTCCCGTACGGCAAGGTTCGTCCGCTTCCGCTTCCATCAGGGCTGGGAGGTTGGCCCAGCCTTGGTGCTTGTCACTGCTGTCTGCTCCAAGTTGCCCTCGATACTGGTAGGGCGATGGTCCTGAGTGCTGGTCACACTGAGGTAGGATAGTAGTGACAGGGGGTGCGCTGGGAGTATTAATGTTGGGATGGGAAGGGTAGGTGGCCTATCCTGTCAGGACATCATTTGGGCTGGCTGTCAGCAGGCAAGCAACTGAGGACGATGTGTACTTCTAACAGCTAAATACTGGTCTCTGATCATGAGAGAAGATACTAGCAGCTCAATGTTATTAGAAGTGTGACTCAGTTTAAACAATTGTAACAACAACAGATTGTCTATTAGATGAATGGCTAAAGACAACAGTGTGGAATAGGACACTAATTCTCCTAACAACAACAACAAAAAAAAA